GCTTCTGCTCTCCCTGGTTCCCTCTCTCTCTCCTTCTGCTCTCTCTCCTTCTGCTCTCCCCGCTTCTGCTCTCTCTGCTTCTGCTCTCTCTCTGCTTCTGCTCTCCCTGCTTCTGCTCTCCCCGCTTCTGCTCTCCCGCTTCTGCTCTCCCTGCTTCTGCTCTCTCTGCTTCTGCTCTCTCTGCTTCTGCTCTCCCTGCTTCTGCTCTCCCTGCTTCTGCTCTCCCCGCTTCTGCTCTCCCTGCTTCTGCTCCCTCCGCTTCCCCCTCTCTCTCCTTCTGCTCTCTCTCCTTCTACTCTCCCTGCTTCTGCTCTCCTTGCTTCTGCTCTCTCTGCTTCTGCTCTCTCTATTTTGCACAAAATGTCTGAAATAGTTAATCATTTACTATTTTTTCAATTTATTTTGGGCATTTGGGAAGGTCTCCTGAGGTTATCTTTTAAAAACGCTTCTAAAAGCAAATGTGCCTAAACGCGGTATCCAAACTCAGGTAAACTGATGGTTTTTAACCTACGTTCTCTAGCAGTCAGTTTCCATCGTTCAGAATAGTTTTCCAAATGCCCCATGTACATGGGCCCTAACACACATAGAGCCACAGTTTGCCCCTCTGCTGTCTCCTCATTGGCTCACTGGCTGTAAATGACAGCAGCTGGTTCAGCTCCTGCTGCTGTGTCAGCCAATGAGGAGGGAGAGTTCCCGTACAGCCAAGGCTATTGTGAACATTGCTAGATAGGAGGGGGCTTAGGTAAGAATTGGGGGGGCTGGGGGGGGGAGCTGTACACAGAATGTTTTTTTACCTTCATACATCCAGGGAATATCTGATTGCCTCTCGGGGGATCAGGAAGGAATTTTTCCCCTGCAGGAGGAAATTGGATCGTGCTTTGCTGGGATTTATTTTTGCCTTCCTCTGGATCATCTGTGGGTGGAGGATTATAACTTTTTTTTTTTTTAATGGTTGAACTGGATGGACTTTTGTCTTTTTTCAGCCAAACTAACTATGTAACATAGAATACCACTTAAAAAAAACAAATAAAAAACAAAAAAAAACAGCGCCATTCATTTAGCGGAGGGGAGGGTTGGAGGGAAGTCTATTCAGGGGGTAAAAATCTTTAATAAAAGAACACTTTTTTGCATTCGCTGTGCTGGCACAGTTTCCATTTTCTTTGTTAACAGAAGGATACGTTGTTTATTTTAAGGTAGAATCACCCCATTGAGTCACTATTTTGAATTTTTAATTCTTTTGTTTTGGTAACAAAGGGATGCAGACCTAAAAGACGAATTACCAGCGTAAAAGGTTGGCGGCTCGTTCATCTTCCTTCACGTAAAAGAATACTAACTTGTATTTCATTGTTACAAAACTATTTTCAATAAATAATAGGAACGTGTGTTCCGTCTCCTGAAACGTGCGGGGGCTTCATAGATGAGGCCCTAATGGGAGCGATATCAGGTGTCTAGTATAGAGTACACGGGGGGGCCGACTATAGCCCACCACAAGGGGTAATAAATAATAATTATATTATTATTATTATAGTGAGTTTTGCTGTTTTATAGAAACAAATCTGCATGGGGCTCGGTATTAATAATCCCTATTATAGGATGACATGGTGGATTCTTTTATTGTACTAAATGTGCACCTCGGCTTGTGAGAAGTTATAGTATATCTCCTTCAGGCCCAGAAAAGCACAGAGTCCCTAATTACACATTATACATGGCTACTGCCACTGTGAGCACCATAGTTGTGAGCAGGGGTGGACTGACCATTTGGAAACTCGGGCACTGCCCGAGGGTCCGGGGTCAGTAGGGGGCCCCATGAGATGCCCCTGGTACCTTTTTCATAGGCTTTTTTGAGTTTGGGCAAGGGCACAGGGGCCCCATGATCCCTATTGCCCGGGGCCCCATGAGTTGTCAGTCCGTCCCTGGTTGTGAGATGACCATTTGTTCCAGTAATGTTTCTCATGCCAAGCTGGTGGCCAGTGAGAAGCCAAATGTGACCATTGTCTGGGGATGAAACAAAGAAGGAGACTTGTGGGAAGGTAGAGCCTGAAAACAAAGACAACACAGAAAACAAAGGCAATGCATCCTATACTACCACCCCCCCCCCTGGAAACTCCAGGATCAGGATGTAAACGCAGAAAAATCCAAAGTGACAGCTAAACTAGGGAGTATCTGGAAGGATTCTACATCAAATACACGTAGCGCTACCCCCATAGGAGCCGCTGATTTGAACTGGTTCCAAACAGTGCAGAGGCCACCAGTCAAGCAGGTACCACTCCATCCACTCCGGTTCCAGTAAACAGTCTAGGGCAGGGGTCTCCAAACTTTCTAAACAAAGGGCTAGTTTACAGTCCTTCAGACTTTAGGAGGGCCGGACTATGGCCATTGGAAGCAGAAAAGGTCCCGACATCAGACGGAAAAAATGATGCCCCAACATTGGTGTCATTGGGGAGGAATTTTGCCTCATCATTGGTGTCATTGGGCCCCATTATTGGGTGTCAGTGGGAGAAACTGTGCCCCATCATTGATGTCATTTGAGGGAATTGTGCCTCATTATTGGTGTCATTGGGAGAAATTATGCCCCTTCATTTGTGTCATGGGGGGAGATTATGCCACATTGTTGGTGCCAGCGGATGAAATAGTGACCCAAGGGCCGTCTGAAAGCAAGAAAAGAGCCGCATCTGGCCCCTGGGCCACAGTTCGGAGAACACTGGTTTAGGAGATGTCTTTTTAAGATTTATTGTTTGTAGACCTTGTAACAGGAGAGGGGTTGGGGTGGGATGCAGGTATTTACCATGAGGCAAGCAAGGCGTTTGCCTTGGGCAGCATTTTTTAGGGGGGTGGTGCCACCCCCTGAAAGAAGGAACACGTGAGGATAGGGACCCGGTAAGGCACTGCATGAGCTTCGCTACACCACATGGCACCCGAAAGAGGCTGAATACTGCAGGAGGGTGGCAGAGCCCAACTGTCATTTCTAGGGATGTCTGGATAACTGGCTGAGCTCACCCGGGCTTTCCTTACCATGGCTCCGGTGATCCCCGACTGTGAAGGTCAGTGCTGTAAGAACTAATTACCTCTCTCCCATCGGGGTGGGGGATGGGGATGTGTGCACGATTTGTGTGTTGCCTAGGGCAGCTAAAAATCTAAATCCACCCCTGTTAGTATGGGATACTCCAGAAATGCTGACTTGTAATAGGAGGACACACTTCACTAGGTGACACTTCTCTGAATGGTCTTTAGTCCAGAAAACAGGGGAAAGACCAGAACTGAGACCCTGTAAGAGCCATCTGAGAGAAAGCTTCCACTGACACCCCAAAAGTAGGCAGCACCCAGCCGCTAGGATCCTGAGCCCAGGTCAGCACTCACAATGTCCCAGAGCAGATAAACACCTTCCAGCCTCCATCTGGCACTTTTCAGTGAGTTCTCCAGACCAGATCCTTAGGTGAAACCACTTAATTAGCAGGAACCCCCCCCCCCCCCCCCAGCTCTGCTATAACTGAAACCTCAATGAACATCCATCCAGCAGAACTGCCTCAAAGGGGCAGCAGCCCCTGAGGCTGAGAACTTGTCCAGCAGGACTAGACCCTGGCTGCACCAGACTCCAAACTATACATATATCCCCCCCCCCCCCCCCCAGCCATCTACTGGGCACACCTTATCAAGGATTTGCCACAGCATGACAAATATTCAAGTGGCCCTCTATGTTCTGGAAGCCTCCAGAATGCAGAGGGAAGCAATCAAACCTGCAGCCTGTGAGATCTAGAACAGCCCAGAGAAATCAATAGCTGCTCCAATGATTACAGAGGAGCCATAAAGAACTAAATGTACTTATCATCCCAGCAACCTACCTAGGAGGGTGCTACATGTACAAGGCAGATAAAGTTCAGATGACCCATCTGTGATGGACTGCCTAGCACCCCTCCTGGGTGCTTCGGTCAGAGGACTGCTTCCTCACTGCTGGGACACAGGACTAAGGTGTTGTCGGTGGGCATCACAACCAAGGACTAGCTGACACGAGTTTAGGTGCAACTGGAGCTCTTTATTGAACAGAAATATAGGTTTGTATACACTTCAGCAATAGGGGCAGTCCCCACATGAACAATAAATACAAATAGAACACATTGGGATAAACATCACACACTGATTAGACAACAAGGCGAAGCTGACACCAGACTAATCCCATCACGTAGGAACCTCCAGGAGAACTAGCCAACACACAGAAACAATTGGTGACTCAATTATCTCAATGAACAATGGGACTAAGACACAACAATAAACACATCACACCTTAATAAACAGATTAGAGGAAGAGACTTGGACATCGGGGTGTTTTCAGCTGATTATATTAACATCTGCTCTAAGTCTCTGCACTAGGAAGGAGGGGGGTTGAAGCAGTCAAAGCTGGTGTGGGCACAGAGATCCCAAATCTATATCCTGGTTATCCAGTTCTCAGAGTCTGTGTTTCTGGGAGACATGTACTATTACTACTTCAAAAGATCCCCCCGAGGCCCACACCTCCCAAAGAACAGAGCCCCCTCTGATGCCAGGGTCCTTAGTCAGTAGGCCAGAGGCTAGCCTGCAATCCCCTCCAAAAGCCCCCGTCCTGGTTGGGTCTGTCATACCGTCTTCTCTTGGATTAACTAGTAGCCGACCGCAGATAGCTGAATGACGGCTTCACTGCGGCCGGCCAGTTCTGAGTGGACGTCATATGACGTCCTTCCAGAACGCGCTCTCCTGCGCGCCCCAGGGGGCGCGCACCCGGCGATCTCCTACGGACACAGCTGATCACGTGATGTGGTAAAAGGCCAATCACAGCAGCCTTTTACCACGTGATCAGCGGGTGTCCAATGACACGCTGATCAGAGGGAAATGCAAGTGCCGGTTCTCGGCTGCACTTTCCTCGTGCTGTCAGATCGTGAGGAAAGGACTGCCGAGAACCAGCAGTTGTCAGAGCAGGGATCGGCACCGATCATCAGGGCACTGATGATCAGTGCCCTGATGATCGGTGCCCAGCAGTGCCACCCGCAAGTTCCGCCCACCTGTGCCCAGCAGTGCGCCCACTAGCTCCGCCCACCTGTGCCCAGCAGATCAGCCACCTTTGCCCAGCAGTGCACCCACCTGTGCCACTCTGCAGTGCCACCTACCTGTGCCCAGAAGTGCCACCTACCTGTGCCCAGCAGTGCCACCTACCTGTGCCCACCCAACTGTGCCCACCAGTGCCACCCACCTGTGCCCACCCACCAGTGCTGCCCACCAGTGCCACCCACCAGTGCAGCCCAGCAGTGCTGCCAGTCAGTGTCGCCAGTCAGTGCCCAGGGGTTGTGCCAGTCAGTGCCGCCAGTCAGTGCCCAGCAGTGATGCCAGTCAGTGCCGTCTATCAGTACCCATCATCAGTGTCACCTATCAGTGCCGCCTATCAGTGCTGCATATTAGTGCCGCCTATCCGTGACACCTCATTAGTGCTGTCTATCAGTGCCGCCTATCTGTGCCACCTCATTAGTACTGCCTATCAGTGCCCATCAGTGTCGCCTATCAGTGCCCATCAGTGCTGCCTCATCAACGCACATCAGTGAAGGAGAAAAATTACCTGTTTGAAAAATTTTATAATAGAAACAAAGAAACTTTTTTTTTTTCAAATTTTTTGCACTTTTTTTATTTATAGCGCAAAAAGTAAAGCACCCAGCGGGGAGTAAATACCACCAAAAGAAAGCTCTATTTGTGAGAAAAAAATGATCAAAATTTCATATGGGTACAATGTTGCATGACCGCGCAATTGTCAATCAAAGTGCGGCAGCGCTGAAAGCTGAAAATTGGCCTGGTAAGGAAGGGGGTAGAAGTGCCCGGTAGGCAGGAAGGGGGTAGAAGTGCCCTGTAGGCAGGAAGGGGGTAGAAGTGTCCTGTAGGCAGGAAGGGGGTAGAAGTGTCCTGTAGGCAGGAAGGGGGTAGAAGTGTCCTGTAGGCAGGAAGGGGGTAGAAGTGCCCTGTAGGCAGGAAGGGGGGGTAGAAGTGCCTGGTAGGCAAGTGGTTAAGGAACAATTAAACCCAAAACATAAAAGATGAATCCTAACTGACCTTGTCCTCAATCCACTGATTTGGATCCCAAGAAACATCTGTACAATGGGAGCATCAAGTGGCACCCCACCAATGGAAGATCTGATTGTATATACCGCACAATGAACCCAGACCACCGTAAAGTCTTTGTGAACATTTCACAAGTTCAGCCGCAATGTCAGACGTTTGGGTTTGATAAGTGGGCCGTTGTTGGTGTCAGAAGAAAGGTCACATTGTGGGGTGAGCTGAATGTACCACGGTTTGGTTCGGACGGTTCTGGGCAAACATTACGACAGTTCAGGTGCCAAATCCAAATCTCAAAAAGTCAATGAGACCAGCAAGGACCATGTTCTGGGATAATATGGAAGGGATTGTCAATCAAATGGTATGGAGAGGGGGCTGGGCTGCCCTGGGGAACATGTAACAATGCAAAACACTTTGAATTTGTTGGGAAGCAGCGATTTAAAAAATGAGCAACATTAAAAATGCTAAATTCCAATATACAATATACCTGGGGAAGCAAAAATGACATTTACAAAGAAAAGTGCTGCGTCATTGCTGGTAAATGACAGTTCCCGGCCTCTTGGTTCTGTTTGTAAACAAAGCATCCAGGGATTCCCTTCATCTATACCGGCCCATAATGCTAGGTGAGGGTCTGGTATATAGATACCAATGGGGGACCCCACCAAAAAAAAAGATACATTGTTCCCTATAACAACACTAGATCCTTACCCCGATCATAGATAACAAAGGGAACTCCATTGTCATACCAGACACTTTGCCTTCAGCCTATATAGTGAAGAAGGAAATAATCGGATGTATCAAGTGGTGATGAGTGACTAAATGGTTAGCACTTCAGCTTGGCAGTACTCGGGTCATTGGTTCGAATCCCAGCCACAGAGCCACCTGCCTGGAGTTTGCATGTTCTCCCTGTGCCTGTGTGGGCTTCCTCCGGGTACTTCGGTTTCCTCCCACACTTCGAAGACATGCTGGAGGTGAATTGGATCCTGTCTAAATTGTCCCTAGTATATGTATGTATATATGTGAGTTAGGGACCTTAGATTGTTTGCTCCTCGGGGGCGGGGCCTGATGTGAATGTACAATATATATGTAGAGTGCTGTGTACATTGATGGCGCTATATAAGTACCTGAAATAAATAAATGATAATAAGGTGTGGTGTGTTCCCAGGTCAATCCGAGACCCCAACAAACCTTCCGACAATACTTAAGATGTTGCATACAGAAGTCCCTGCCCTGCTTCTTCTCCTACCAGAACAACCCACCTGCTGGAGATGTCAACCTTCCACTTCTTGGGCCCCTTGTGGGTCCTCATGACATTCCCAGCCGTTGACCTTTATCTCCCAAAGAAGGAATGTCCACACAGACAGGTTTGCTGCACTTTACTGATGTTACTTTAAAGACGACATTACAGTCACATCACATAGACCTACTATCCGGGGTCAGTGACAGCATTTTGTCAATCACATATAGTGGACGATCCACAGCAGACAAACGTGAAAGCAGCACATTGCACAGTGCATTTTAGTAAGCCATCTTCCCCACTCAGTCTCCCCTCCCGGGCCATCACTACTGGCTGGTCTGCCTTAGCTTGTCTGTGTCCAGCTCACTGCTCCCTGCAGGTAGTCTCCTGAGACAGGATCACTGCAGGCACCCCTAGCTTGGGTACAATTCTCCCAGGTCCTCCAGTGGATAGCCTCACTCCAGAACACTTGGCCTAGCCTAAGAGGCCTTTTGCAACCCACTCTAGTCCCCTCCACCAAGTCTACAGCTGGTTCTTCTGGGTGCAGGTCTACCTGTCCCTGTCCTCCAGTCCTGTCCAGGGCCTCCACTAGATAACTACATCTGCCCAATGGTGGGGTCCCTGGTTACCAAGTCCCAAGGCTAGTGCTCCTCCATACATGATTCTCTGTAGTCAGACACTATTCTGGAACAGAGCCACCTAGTGGCAGACTAGCTAACTGCACCTGCTTACACTTTATTTCTGAGCCAAGCACTCCTGAATAAAAATATTCACTAAAAACTAAAATGCCCAAAATATGAGAAGAAAAAGCAAAAAAATGCTTCCGCTGGACTTTGTATTTCAGTTGCTTCCTGTAGACATCAGTGACGTCCTTGTGTCTCAGCACCCGATGCCGATCCTGCAGTGCATACTGTCTGGGCATTAATCTGAGCACATGTGAGTGCAACCCCCCCCCCCCCCCCGGCACATCACCCCACACAGCCGCACCTTCTCCTTCATCTCAATGGGTGGCTGTACTCATCAGGTGGGGGTCCCGGGGAAGTGATTGCGCAGACTCTGAGCTGTCCGGCCCCTGTATGGCCGTGTGTATGAGGACATAGGAAGATGATGTATTCCCTGCAAGATCCGCTGTAATGATGAATTATATTGCAGAATATCGCACTATAGAAAGTCACATGATCTGCACATACGTGATGGGACCCCGCGCGTTTCTGTTCTGCAGTCCGTGTGCGAGACGGTAAACACATCACCTTGCTGTTTTTATTATTGAAGGCAGACCGCCAGTGTCCCCCGGGAGAGCTGAGCCTGTTCTCCAGACGTGGACCAGAAACTCGTGTTCATGAAATCATTGTTTTCCTGCTGGAGGAGATGAGGCTTCAGTGCCACCAGATCAGGATTGGGAGAGAAGACACAACATTGGAAATGATGGATATAAATGATGAGATTCACATCATTCACACCCAGCTATACATCGGGCTGGGAGAACATCTACCTCTCTGGGCATCCATTGTGCTTCTTACTGCTCAGGTTTTATTATATATACACTGGCCAGCCCATAAAATTATAACCACCCACCTAATACTGAGTAGGTCCCCCTTTCCTGACCCCCCCCCCCCCCCCACCATGAACTCCTCTAGACCTCTGAAGGTACGCTGTGGCAATCTAGCACCAAGCCATCAGTAGCAGATCCTTTAAGTTCTGTAAGTTGGGAGGTGGGGCCTCCATGGATCAGACTTGTTTTTTCCAGCACATCCCACAGATGCTTGAATGCAGTGAGATCTGGAGAACTTGGGAGGCCAAGTCACCACCTCAAATTCATTGTTGTGTTCCTCAAACCATTCTTGAGTTCATCAGACCAGGCTACCTTCCTCCATGGCTCCGTGGTCCAGTTCTGATGCTCACGTTGCCCATTGTAGGCACTTTAGGCTGTGGACACGGGTCAGCGTCAGCATGGGCACCCTGAGCGGTCTGCGGCTACACAGCTCCATACACAACAAACTGCCATGAACATTTTTTCTGCTTCCACACATCAAACTTCATTCTACTTTGTGTCCTTCACTATCTCTACTTGAAAGACTCCCAGGCCACACAGTGCTATGTTCCAGTTAAGTGTGCCTAATGTGGTGCGCTGGGCAAAAACTTTACTGAACCATCACGTCGTGCATGGCGCTGCTTACCCCGAAACTGGTTGTGGCCCCCTAAGGTTCCACCAGAATAACCTTGTGGTGCGATGGAGGATGTGCAGTGTCTGGGTTAAAAACCGCAACATAAACCGGAGCGTGCAAAACATTACCGGCTGAACAAAAACAATTCAAATAAGCAGCGGGTGTGATTGGGGTAAGGAAGGAGGGCAGAGGGAGAAAAAACAGAGTTCACAGGGCAAAGGAAAAAACATGACAGAGTTTTCTGCCAGAGTCCATAGGGACTATGGACGGGACGTTCAGCAAAAGTCCTGCGAATGCAGCTTCAGGCAAAGACACACTCTCAGTTGGGGTGGCGATGTTGGTACCTCAATGTTCAGTGTTGTTAGTGGGGTACAGTAAGGTTCAGTGTTATTAGTGGGGGACCCCAAGGTTCAGTGTTATCAGTGGGGTACCCCAAGGTTCAGTGCAATTATTGGAGTACACCTAAGGTTCAGTGTTGTTAGTACCCAAGGGGGTACCCCTAGTTCAGGTTATGTGTTATTAGTGTTTGGGGACCCCAAGGTTCAGTGTTATTTGTGTTGTTGTTGTTAGTGTGGGACCCCTAGTTCGTGTTCAGTGTTGTTAGTGTGGGACCCAAGGTTCAGTGTTGTTAGTGTGGGACCCCAAGTTTCAGTGTTGTTTAGTGAGGGACCCCCAAGGGTTCAGTGGTTATTAGTGGGGTACCCCTAAGTTCAGTGTTAATTAGAGGTGAGTATCCCATACTACCAAGGTTACAGTAGATGTTAGTGGGGGTACCCCAAGGTTCATTGTTATTATCTATGGGGAACCCCAAGGTTCAGTGTTATCCAGTGGGGACCCCAAGGTATTCAGTGCAATTAGTTGGGGTACCCTAAGGGTTCCATAT